ATGATAAAATAATAATATATGAAAACATATATAGTGATAATAATAGATATAAACAAGTGATGCAGAGTATAATTGCTCACCATCTGCTGACCAATGCCTGTCTCATCCTGGCAAATGATCCTGAAACAGATAAGTCCTGATGCTGCAGTCCTGGATGAGTGAGAGGCCTGAAAAGAGAGTGAGAGAGAAATAAAACTTGGCGAGTCCAAGAGAGTCCTCCCAGAAGAGAGAGAACGATTCCAAGTTCTGGTCAGCCCTCGTCTATATACTGGGCATGATGTTGCATGATAGGGAATACTTCATTGGCCAATTTGGCCCCCAATCTTAAGTCTAAGTTCAAATCATAAGAGGACTTGTGGGCCCTTTGTCCTGGCTGTGCTTCCTCCCAGCCTGTTGTACTCTTGCACACTGGCAAAACATGGGAAACTGTAAGGTCCTTGCGGTCTCAGTGTCAACTATAAACATCAGTGTGCTATCAATATTCTTATTATAACAAATCCCAGACTAAATGCAAAACAAAGAGCTATTCTAGCTACTAAAACCAAAGCAAACACCTAACTCTATCCTAGCCGAAACCAGGACACCTAGTAAAGCTTACCACTTAAATCTGTTGCTCCCTTTGCTTTATTATCATGCTGCAGTGAAACAGGAACTGGATTTAAAAATTCACTTACTCATGCTCACTTCTTACAAGCAAACATATGCACTGCTTTCCCACTTTGGCCCTGTCCTTCTTATTTCCTTTAATGAGGAAGTGGAACAGATTATGAAATAAGACAAGTTCATGAGGACAAATGTGTTTACTTCGCGCTTTCTTGTAGTAATTAGGGCTCTAAGGGCCTAGGTAAGTATCTGAGCATGTATTCCAAATAACTGTTTTTCAAGACAAGCAACCGTACTGATCACAATTTTCTGAGATTCCTATTTGAACCTATACAAGTTCTGGAAAAAAAACTACTCCTTTAGTGTTATCTAAGCGTCAGTGTAAGGCTTTGTCATATCTGCCAGGTGGCTAATGTAAATGGTCTAGAACACTTTTAGCCCTGGCAGAGTACTGCGTGATGTATTTGATCTGACAGGGGTGCAAGTTGTTACATTTCAGTAACAACCAGCACTGCCAGAATCCCAGCAGGCTGTGATAACGGATAGGTAGCCCGTGGCTCCTCAAAGACATAATTACTGTGTTCACTCCATTGGCCACTTGTATAGCAAAATGCTCTTAATGTTCAGCTTTCTCTGGAGGAACAAGTATTTCTCCTTGTGATTATCAATGAGCAGGAGGAGGAGCTTAGCTGTCCACTTTTAAGTTCTTATTTTTCTCTGCTGACTAGCTAGCGTGTGCCAAAGTGAATGCTTCTCAATCTCCATAGTTTCAGCAATTAAAATTATTTTTTGTATTTTTTTCATATAAGCCAGGACGATCTGGGCTTTTTTAGACTCTCTCTGTTTTTGAAGAATTCCCTATTTTACTTCAGTACCTAAACAATTCAGATTTTATTTTTCTAACTTAAAAGAAACACATCCCAAGACAAGTTGCAGGTTTTTCTGTTTGAAGAGGTTATATGGCACTGTTTTGCTCACCTCTTCTTTCAGGAGCTGAAGCAGTACCGTTTTGAAGTCTTTTTGGCACATCTTTGTCCTCAGTTGCCTTTGCTCTGGTACACTGCCAAAGTGGTCTTTTAATTTGATGCTAAGCACTTCCAGGTGCTTGATCCATATTTTGCGGACTACATGGAATACGCTGGTAGAAAGTGGTTCATTGTAAAAAGATTGCGATACCAACCGGTATCCAGTCACTGCTTTTGGGACCTATACAGCCATTGCTCGCAAGGGAGCTTCCCTACATGCTATTTCTAAATGAGTACGATTCACTCTGCAGAAACAGCCTTCACTAAAGGCTTAGGAAACTTTTACAGGAAAGATAAATAGTACCATGGTATTAAAGGGCATATTAGATACGCTGAATCAATTCTTCAGCAGTGCCTAGTGTGTGATCATTCACAAGTGTTTCCATTTCTCTCTCTAAGGCCTTCCTACCAGTGCCCCAGTATGTTCTGTGAAACACCAATGGTGCACCACATTCGTCGCTTTGTTCATGGGCAAGGCTGTGTGCAAATTGTGTTAAAGGAGCTGGACTCCCCAGTCCCTGGGTACCAGCACACCATTCTTACCTACTCCTGGTGTAGACTGTGCAAACAGGTAAGGATATGGACTTAAGAATCATTGCTATTCCAATTTCGTATGGCTGTTGTGACTGGCCTTATACAGAAAGGCAGCATTTCTGAGAAAGTGCTCACTCCTGGGGCTATGACTAAACTAGCACAAAACCTGTTACTGATACAGATGTTCTCGCATATCTACAAAGTCTGGGGCTGTTGAGGGTGAAACATCTTGGATGAGATAGTCCTGTTGGAAAGTGTCAACCCTGACTCTGAGAGGATAGGTTTAAGTGGGGTCAATATATTACTGGAAACTAATTTCTGACACATGGGAAAAATGGAGTTGCACTCTTATAGGTGAAGAGTATGGTCCCTTCTCTGCAGTGGATCAGTACAAGCATCAAAAGAATCTGTGTATGGGGAAGGGCAGGCACTGAGACCAACTAACTTAGTAACTGGCTAAAACCACTTGGTATTCTTTGATCTGCTATGGACTGGACAGTCTGTATTGCATCAGTATGATGTCTAGACTTCCTTTAGTAGTCATTAGAAAGTACATAAAATCTTCATTAGAGGGATGATAAATTGCTTTTAAAAAAACACAAGGTAGTAAGATGGTGTATTTTCTGAAACTCGTTCTGTAATTTAGCTAAGAAAATATTACCAGCTGGAGACTTGTCTCTAGCTAAACATTGTAAAACTTAAGAGCCTTCAAAGAGATGAGAATAAAACTTAATTAAAAAAGATTCATGCAGTGCCTGAAAGGCAAAACATCTTGATTACCTATGTGGATGACTCAATTCACCTACTTATGCTGGTTTAAACACGGGTGTTGGATTTAAAGATACTTGGAGGATGTTAATGTAATTGCTGAAGGCAGGCCCTATGCTTCTGTGTATACACCTGTTCTATAACCTTTTATTTCTATGTGCTCATGTAAACATTAATATGTTTGTGGCTATTGAGTATGTGTAAAGTGGTGACTACTCTAAGCTTGCAAGCACTGCTGAAATTGGAATACACTGCGGAGCAATACCAATGTATTTGTAGCTGAAGAACCACCAGGGAAAAAGTATGTGATGAAACTACTGCTGCTGACTGGTCTGTGCAGAGAAATAGCATCCCAGATATAAGCTTCTGTCAAGGGTATGTTTGCATTCCCCCAACTTAGGACCTGTCATCATCAACTAGCAGTTGTTGTTCATCTGATTTATTTTAACTATTTGTTGGCCTTAGCTTTGCATAAATGCTGTCTTTGTGGTTGCTTTTGTTATGGGTGCTTCTGGTACTAGAAATACCAGATTGCTGTCTAGGTTAGCCTGTCCTTAATCTTGGTTGAAGGATGAAATTAAGACACCTGGCTTTCAATTTTGCAGGTGACACCAGTTGTTCCCCTTTCCAATGATTCTTGGTCTATGTCTTTCGCAAAATACCTTGAGCTGAGATTCTATGGGCACCAGTACACTCGAAGGGCCAATGCAGAGCCTTGTGGTCATTCCATTCACCATGACTATCACCAGTATTTTTCCTATAATCAGATGGTGGCGTCTTTCAGGTGAGGTCCACTGCTAAAAAATTTCTTCTCTCCCTAGTACTATGTGAAGCATATAGCTGTAGTAAGGGTTCATCAAGTCTGTCCTTCGCTTTGAGTATGGCATGGGATTGTGCGCTGGCTCGCAGAGAGTATTATGGGTGTCATCACTGTCCCAGATGGGGTGGGCAGTGATCTTAAGAATGGATAGCTCCAATTCATGATACAAAAGGGAGACACTTTTCTCTGTCGAATCTTGGAAACTTTCAGAATTTTGTTTTTGCAGCGTGATCTGTGGTTTTACTTTTTGCCTAGGAGATAAATGAACAAGGTGTTATTGTTACTAAAAGTAACTAAAGCCCTGAATTCATTGACAGTGCCCGTTTTCATATAAGGGCCACAAACTGCAATATGGTGTAGAACTAGTACTTTGTGAGGAGAGTCTTGTTAAGAGCTGTTGTATTGCGTTTCCAGCTACTCTCCAATCCGACTGCTTGAAGTGTGTGTCCCGCTCCCCAAGATCTACATCAAACGGCAGGCTCCATCAAAGGTTACTATTTTGCAGGATCTCAAGGATTTCTCTCAAAAGTAAGCTTTGTTTTTAATGCCTTCTTCTGCTTATTTGTATTTTGGACTTTTATTAGCAGAACACAAAACCAGTTTTGCTAGTATAGATAACACTTGCTAAATATTCATTACTTAATAGAAAAGTAATGGTTATAAACACATTTTTATGTGCATATACTTCTAAGGGAGGGTTGTATTGGAATATTCTTTATTACCTTTACCTGCTCTGTCTGTACTAAACATCTTTTCATCTGGCGGAAATTCAGCTTAAACATAGCCACTAGAAATGAAGATTCTTCTCTTCGTCTCTGAATTTTTCACTGATGTTTGCGTGATACAGTGTGTGTCTGATATTGTCAAGTAGCCACTGAAAGGTTGGCCATTAGCTGGTGTCTGAAATGTTGCCTTGTCTTACAAAACACCTTCTCAAGCACAGCTAAAGTATTTTGAATTCCTCCCTCTAATGCTAAAAATTGAACAGAGGAGGTGGTCCTAGAAGGCTTAATCTGAAAACTGCAGGTAACACTTTATGCCCTTACTCTAACATTCCTTTTTGGAAGATCTGACCAAGTTTAAATTCTACCTTCAGCCCAGAAAAACTAGAGCATTGCTGAAATCAAACAGAACTGTTTTCATTGTATTGGTCATGTGGCAACTAAACACTCTGGTGTGTAAAAGACGTTGCCTTTGTTAGCTATTGAATGTGGTAACAGCAGACAGTCTAGCACCTTCTTGTAGTCTAAGGTAAACTAACATAAGCTTACTTAAAATATTCGAACAAAAAAGTGGGAGATGGGCATGATGGAAACTATATTAAATCCAGTCTGACTGCTGTTCTGCCTGGTGGCAGCATTCCTGTATGGCTCATGTGTCTGTGACTGCCTGACTTCAGAACCTGTTGAGCTTTGTTTAGAGCTGAAACAGCGTTACTCACTGACTGTTTCTGAGCCCTTCTGGTGGAGATGTAGCTTATAGTCCCAGATTCTTCCTAGGCACAGATGACACCAGTTCTCCTCTGCTAGTAATCTGTTTGTGACCTTTGTATTGCTCTCTGTTCCGTTCCACTGCTTCAAAACTTATTCTTAAGTTATGAGGAGGAATGTCAGTGTGTGTAAGTTCTAGGTTTCTGCTATACTAATGAATTTTTTCCCAACTTTCCCTGTAAATTCAGTGGGACAGCCTACTTTGCAGAAGACTGTCGTATATCATCTTTTGTTTTCTTAAACACTAAATTTTAATGCATTCAGACTTTTATTAAAGAATGTTGAAGGTGTTCAAAGTAGTCACAGCTTAGCTTTTTGCATTCCTGTTGACAGGGTGTCACAAGTGTATCTTGCTGTTGATGATCGCCTTGCTTCTCTGAAAACGGATACCTTCAGCAAAACAAGAGAAGAGAAGATGGAAGACCTCTTTGCCCAAAAGGAGGTGATGGACTATTTCTTCATTGGCAGACCACAGACTGCAAAGTGTATGGAGAAGGCACTTAGATCTGGTGTCATCTCAGGTCACAGAACACTTGACAGTTTTTCTTTTGGCAGATGGAAGAGGGAGAGTTTCGAAACTGGACTGAGAAAATCCAAGCAAGGCTGCTTTCGTCATCATTAGACACACCTCAACAGCTGCAATCTGTTTTTGAGTCTCTGATAGCTAAAAAGCAAGGACTTTGTGAGATGCTACAAGCCTGGAATAACAGGTAAGAGGACACGTGTTGGAATCATGACCAACACTGGTACTGTGTTGGTTATAGAAGGGAAGAGGTTCTTTTGTACTTTCTCTCCCTGTAGTGTAATTGCTATATAGAATGTGTTATGACAGCTAGTGCTGAATGTCCTCTACTGGTTAAGACCACAGCGCTGGTTATAACTGGAACAGAAAATCATTTGAGGTCAGAGAATAGAAGTATTGTGCTGTAGAGCAGAACTTGCGTCTGAGGGAAAGTGTCATTTGAATAAAGGTGGAAGAGAGGCACATGAGAAAGTAATTAATTGGGTGAAATTATCTCAGAGGTGAAGCAAGAGGTTCTCATTTTGGCCATTTGAAACGTAGCTTTGGCACATGTTAGCAACCATCTGAGTTTGCAGTAAAGACTTGTGAAGGCATGCTTGACTGTAGTATAGAGAAACTTCATAACTTGTGCCTTTCATAGCTGATGTCTATAACCTATCTTTTGATTAATTTTTCTTTGGACTTTGTTTGGATTTTGTTTGTTATTTTAAGATTGCAGGATCTCTTCCAACAAGAGAAAGGGAGAAAACGTCCATCAGTACCACCCAGCCCTGGGAGACTGAGGCAAGGTGAAGACAGCAAGGTATGAGTAGCAGACTAGAAGCTACTTAAACCTTTTTTTTTTTTTTTTCCCCTGAGGCAACACAACAGTCTTAAGACTGGCTTCAGTTCACTTAGGAAACTTGTTTCAGTGCATCATGTAGTTTTCAGCTGTAAAAGCTTGAACTGCATGTTAGTATACATATCTTTTTCTAAAGCAGTGAACCAAGAGCCATATTACACAGAAGATGACTAAGTATGAATAGAATTTGATGATTTTCTGTGGTATTTGTGTAGTGTTCATCTGAATATCGACAGTGGAGAGCTGCACTCATTGTCAGGTGTATGCCTAGATAGGAAGGAGGTCACCTTGTTAGACCTAAGGTTGTTGCCCATCACATTTGTCCCTTGTGAAAAAGAAAAGGCGAAAATTATTAGGAGAGGCAGAGCAAAGAACACAGGAAGAACTCCTAATGAATTTGAAGGTTCATCTCTGTTCTGTGATACGTCCTGTGGGAACTGGCTGAGGGGATTGATTTTGGACTACTGGCTCAAGAGCTCTGTCTAAGGGTACAGTTGCCAGCATGTTGAACAACCACCCTGTAGGGAGCTGGTACCCTGAGAAAATGTCCAGACTGCAAGACAGTGCAATATAAACATAATAAAGCGAGGCTGAACTCCCAATATTTCTGACATTACCAAGGCGCACTGAGAAACCCTGTGAGATCCTGGATTTGCTCTGCTGCATACATATGTGTCCTTTCCACTTAACACACGTTTGCTGGATGCTAAAATGCACTTAACCTTGATCTAGTAGCAAGTTTGTACAAAGGTTTATACAAAGGAAGAGTGTAGTCTTAAAAGCGGCACACAAAGATGATAGCAGTCATAGCATCTTGTGAAGCTGGGTTGCTGTTGCCTTGTCTTTTTTGTGTGGTGGCAGGTACAGTGACAGTGCAGAGGGTGAGTGCTTTGTTGTGGTACACCCGCTTTTGCAAGCGTTCCACAGAGGAAGGGATACAGCTATAAAGAGCTTGGCATCAACATTGGTATTTTGTTATTCTGCCTAGATCAGTAGTATGGATGCTTCGCCACGCAATGCTTCTCCAGCACTGCAAAATGGAGAGAAAGGTCTGTTGTTCGTTTATTTATTTATTTTTCTTAAGCTACCAAAAGAAGCTTGCTGTAACCCTTTCCCTGACATAACATGGGAGCCTTTGTCAAGTTTGGTAATTTGGAGAAACAGTGAATCCCTGTTGTGTGAGATAGAAATAAGACAATTTTTGCCTTACTATTATAAAAAGCAAAATCTGCTTCTAATATGAAGCTGAGTTACTAATGATACTAAATTGGCCGGCAAGGTTTTTCCTTTGAACTCGAGTTTAGAAAGCTCTCAGAGGCTTTCTAAATAACTGAATAACTATGTGGAATTTGAGAAGTGCCTCTTGCTTCTTTTGTGAAGTGGTTACGGGTGCTGAGACCTCTTACCGGTGAGGAATACTGAGAGTTTGTGGGAACTGAAGGTAGTGGATATAAGTGTGTGCATCTTCTGGACATTATGTTCCACACTGAACAGCTTGCCCTTTCCTTTGCTCTTGGTGGCCCTACCTGCTTTCTAAGTAAAACCTTCTCAAAAGTAGACACCGATAGTAGCTTGGCCTGGGAGCAAGCAATATCGCTTCTGACAGTCACTTAAAATGCTTTCTTCTTTAACTGTCCTCATACTCTCAGAGGATCGTTTCCTGACTACTATATCAAGTCAGACCTGCACAGGCTCCACCCATCTTCAGCTGCCCACCCCTCCAGAGGTTGTATCTGAGCATGTGACTGGTGCCAACACACTGTCTGAACAGGATACAACAAGCAGCTCGGAAGGTATAGTTCAGTTGTGGTCTTGTGTTCTTTCTCTTGCTTCTCTGTGGCAAGTGTATGGGATCTGTTTAGGAATCGGCAAATCTGGTAACTCTGTGGTCTGCAACCTTTGTTATGAATTTACAGCTTGAAGTTTGGTATTGTAATGCAGACTTAATCTACCTGTGTTCCAGATGTGTTTGATGGCCACTCACTGGGATCGACAGACAGTCAAGTGAAGGAAAAGTCTACTATGAAAGCTATTTTGGCTAACTTTTTGCCTGGAAACAACTATAACCCCATTCCATTTCCCTTGTAAGTACTGCATAATATATATGATGTACAAAATTAGCAGCCTGGTCAAATTGCAAACAGAGCCATGCATGCTTCCTTTGCTCAGTATATAATTTAAGTCATCACTTGAGTTTGCCTCCAAATAAGCTATAGAACTTCCTCAAGGCAAGAAGTTTTCTGTGTCTCTTCTAGGTGTTTGTACCTTACCTGCTTTTCTTGTGGTGATCCACCCTTGTGCATATACGTTACCAGTTTCTCCTCCTCCTAGCAGGCGTTCCTCCTCAGAATGCTTGTGGGAGGGGAAGGGGTGGGGGGAAGAGGAAGAGAAAGGTGCCTTCATGACTGCAGGGAGGGAGCAGCAATGTCCTTCCTTAGCAAAGATTTACTAAAAGCTACATGCCTGCCTCTTGTTTTTGCTTCCAGACTTCTTCCAAGGGTTGGACTCAAATTGGCATTGTCTGGGTGTAGGTCAGGTTCAATGGCTACTGCATGTGCCCTCAAGTCTCCCCCTCATGTGAAAATGGGCAGGCTGGAAAGTCTTTCAGCTACTTGGTCTGTGTGCTTTGTAGTGTTTCTGGTTTGATACGAGCCTAACGTTTGGCAGCCTGAGTTTAACTTCTGAATCCTACCCCCAGGGTAGTAGTGGAGGCCATGGGCTAATGAGGTAAAACTTAAGTGACTGGAGCGTACAGATAAGTAAAAGAAAATCTTACAGAAATCCAGGACGGTCTTGGGAATTTTCTGTGCTAAACTGCTTGTTCAGAAAAGAGTCCAGGTTTGTCCCCTAACTTCACTCTGCAAGCCACACTGCAGAACGCTCAAGCTCAGGCAGGTTTTGGTGCCATTAGAAACAGTGGCTGCTAAACAGAAATAGACTCTTACTCTAACTTGGAGCTGGTCTTCTGCCATAAGCAGCTTGCTTGAAGTGCCGATTGCCCTAACACATTACCGTTTAGATTTAACCACATAGCTGTGAATGTGTCTGTTGTGAGAAGCTGCTCTGGGGAGCTGTGGTTCCATGCTGAGACTTGCAGCTTGTGCCTGGGAGTGCAGTGATGAGATCTGGATTTTGACCAAAACTTAACCTTTGTTTTTTTCCCCACAAACTTCTATGATCTACTAACGGTCTCCCTATTATGTCATTTTCATTTAGTGACCCAGATAAGCACTACCTAATGTATGAGCATGAACGTGTACCTATTGCAGTCTGCGAGAAAGAACCAAGCTCCATCATAGCTTTTGCTCTCAGGTACTGGTGAGATTTTGCTGTTTATCTGACACATGTACTTTCGCAGCTTTTCTGTGCAAGGAATGTTTAAATCCTAATGGTAGCGAACAAGCAGGACGGAATTTCTTCACTCAGTTGCCTTGAGAGTTTCTGCCAGAGCTGAAGTTCTCTCCTTTTGCTACTGAGATATAAAAAGCAGGTTTTCCAACTTGCAATGGGATTTTGGGCTTTTCTTGCCGAACTCTAGTACACAAAAATGAACTAGTAGCGTTCCTTGAAATGTGATATTTGTTAGAGAAAGAAGTGCAACTGAACTTTGTTCAGCTCTCCCACCTGGAGGAAGTGCAACTGAGCTAGGGAATGGCAGTTAGTTGTTCATACTGCAGTCTGTCCCTTGTCTACCTTTGGCCATAGCAGCTCTTGCCACTACTCAGCTCTACAGACCAGCTGCTTCAGTAAATCCTGGGGTTTGCATGTCACAAGGCAGCGCATTCTTAAACTGTGGGAGAGGAAGAAACAAGGGAGATTTTTCTTGCAGTATGATCTAGAGCAGCTTCTGTTCTAAGGGAGCTAAGTTCTAATTGTATGAAAAAAAAAAACAACGAAGAAGAGGTTTTTCTACTGTGTTTTTTTTTTTTTCCTGTGACTGTCTCTGAACTGAATCTTTAGGTCAGTGTTACAGAATCTCCCACAGAACAGCTGACTTTTTTTCTCTTTCTTTTTCTTGTTTTTATTTTCCTTTTACCTTCAGTTGCAAGGAGTACAGAAATGCCCTGGATGAGTTGTCCAAAGCATCTCTGAAGAACAGTTCTGAAGAAGGACTACAGCCAAACAGGTTACATGCAGGCACTACAGTATACGAAACGAACGCACAGGAATTGTAGTGAATAACCCAAAACTAGGATGAGGAGGGACCCTCAAAATATGGCTCTGTTAAGATCTCTGCTTTCTGATGGAATCTGATATGTTCCATGTAACCAACACATACTTCTAGTATCTGAGTTTTCATTTCATGTCAGGGTTGGTGCTGTCTCCGTCACCTGATCCTTTGCCTGTGTGCATGGTCAGGATTACTGGGCCTGCTTACCTTTCCTGTGATGATGGATGGAACTGTTGTTATGGAGCCCTGAGAGGTTTTTCTCAGGGAGATGGAGGTGTATCCTCTTCCTTTAGAAGTACTTAGTATTAGGCATGGAGAGGAAATAAATGTACAGGACTGAAGCAGTAGTATCTCAGGTGGCAGTATTTGTTGGGACTTTTTTTCTTTCTCCTTTCAGCATGTCAGACAGCAAACCAAAGAACAGTAGCCCTGTCCGCCTGCCTGAGGTTAACACGGGTCCTTCAAATCGCAATGCAGAACCAGAACAGCGTAAGATGATTTTGCCAAAATGATATCCATGATGCTAATCTTAGCTTAGACGACTTAAGTCCACTTAACCTGGGTTCCAGCTCTTGTTGAAGTTAAGTTAGAACAAACAAAATTAATTCTGAGTTGAAATTGTGATTAGTCTTAGAGTTGAAATGATGTAGAACATGGCAGGGCAGGGGGGTGTGTGTTGGTTTTTTGAATTCTGTGCCCATGATGGCTTTCTCTGGTTCTTATGAGATCAGACTATCATTCCCTGATTTAATATGTTAGGATGTAGTGGACCTTGGGTTGTTCTTGTCTAGCCTGTTCAGTGGGGTATGATGCCCATAATATGTTCTGACCTCTTTTGGCACCACCTTCTTTAAAAAGATGGCAATTAAAATATTTTGAAATGGAGAAGTGAGGTTCTTATTATATTAAAGACGCTAGTGCTTGGCTTGCGTTTTCAAATGACTCAACGTTCCAGAACGATACTTAGAACACTAAGCTAAGCTGATGGACCTTGGTTGCCTGAAGAATAGCAGATGAGTTACAGTTGAATGACATCATTCGTCTAGACTAATGAATCGAGAATGCTTATCGTATGAATCATGCTTTTATTAAACTGCCCATGGAAATGCCAAAGCCAACTTCTTTATCCCTTTTCACTCTAGCAAAGAAACCGTCTGGCGTTTTGTCTTTCTTCCGTGGCACGGGAGGGAAGAGCCCAGACCTGTCTTCCCAGAAGAAAGAGACCTTACGTGGGGCTGACAGTGCCTACTACCAGGTTGGACAGGTGGGCAAAGAGGGAGCAGAAAACCAAGGAGCAGAGCCTCAAGGTACAAGACTGTTGAGTTCATCTTCCGTCTTGGACTGTTACTTCTCCCAAACCACATTCATATGTATAGTTCCCTCTCTATTTTTGGAAAAAAAAAATGTTTTTCTTGTAATGTGAGTTTACAAGTAGTATCTTACATGAGTTTCTCAGTAATAATAACGAACAATCCTGACTGAATGATTCCTTTATGCCTTCAGATGATGTAGATGGAGGAGATGGACAGAAGAAACAGCTGGTGAATCCCCATGTGGAACTCCGTGAGTAGCTGTAAATAGTAACTTGAAGTCTTAGCTCACAAACTTCATTCTTCATGCAAATGTAATGGAAATCTTGAAGTTGATTTTTTTTTTCTTTGTATTGGGTAGGAAGTAAAAACCCAGCAAGAAAAAAGCAATGCAATTTTTACTTACTGTAATCAATCTGTTACAAAAATACCCCTTTTAAACTTTTTTAACTTATCTTTTGTCTGGACACTTTCCCATGGCATATACTGTGAGCTGACCTAAAAAGGGTTGACTTTTCTGTAGGTTTTCCATTTAAGTCCTATTGATTTAAAAGTACAATAGACGTCAGAGAGGGATGTTTAGCACAATAGTATTCTTCTAGACATCAGTAAAATCTCGGAGTGCCATCTCAGGTAGTCAGTGAGTATTGCATGCTGTTATTGAGTAAGACTTTTTATTTTTTGCAGAGTTTTCAGATGCGAATGCCAAGTTCTACTGCCGGATTTATTATGCTGGCGAGTTTCACAAGATGCGTGAAGTGATACTGGGGAGCAGTGAAGAGGACTTCATCCGATCCCTCTCTCACTCTATGCCCTGGCAGGCACGAGGTGGCAAATCTGGAGCTGCGTTCTATGTGACTGGGGGTAACTGCAGCTTCTTCCCCCTTCATAATTACAGAGTGTTATTTCAGGATGGTGGTGGTTAGTGTGTCATTTAATCCCTGATTACCTCTAGCCAGAGGGTTGCTGACTGTGAAATGGCCACTCAGAAGGGAAAGCTAAGTGGATTGTTCTAGGGCCTTCAATATCAGATTATTTGTCTCTTTGTACATGCAGGAGAATAAAATGTAGTTCTGTTTTTCAGTAGTAGCAGCTAGGGAGGCCAGTTGAACAGAAGGGTTGTACTCTCTTAGAGAGGCTTCGGAAAACAAAAACTTGAGTAGAATTCAAGGAAAACTGGTTATTAAACACAGTGTTTCTTATAATCCCACATGCTATAATTGATTTATAGGATTTATTTTTTTTAAAAAAAAACAACCGTGGCCGATTCTAGACTCCTGCTTAAAGCAGGTCTTGAATGAAAGGGTCTGTAGGCTGTTGCTGTTGTGTGTTTAAGCAGCCCATATTGCTGAGATAGATCTACCTTAGGCAGTCTCTTCTCACTGATTTGCTAGAAGGCTGATACCCAGAAAGGCTGAAATTCTGAAATTCAGAATATATGAAGTAAAAAAGTTTCTAGGAACGAGCTTCTGTAGCTAAGGATTTAATAGAATTGTAGTCCTTTAATTTTTCAAACCACTTCAGCTGCGTGACAGTCCTAAAGAACTTGCAACTAATACATCACTTACTGCGTGTAACTCAGTAAGTTATCTGCCTTTGTCTGATGTTAAAACAGATGATAGATTCATCTTGAAGCAGATGCCACGTCTGGAAGTCCAGTCGTTCCTTGACTTTGCTCCGCACTACTTCACTTACATCATTAATGCAGTTCAGCAGAAGGTATTGGTTTTTTTTCTTTAAAAAAGTGCCTTTTATTTTAGGCAATGCTCTGTGTTTTATAAACTAGTAACAGTTTCTGTTAACCCCTTTCATTTGACTGAAAGAAAACGTCAGAGGTATGAGTTGTTCTAATAATGTGTTTTTAAGATGAAAAGTGGGAATTTTGCTAAAGCTTCTAAGCTGTAATACACAGTCAGACAGAACAGTGGTGCCTCTGGTATTTGATTGCTGATTGCCTGTATACAGAGGTCTTACCCCATGCCTTCTCTTCATCAGAAGCCCACAGCACTGGCCAAAATCCTTGGGGTATACCGAATTGGATACAAGAACTCTCAGAACAACACTGAAAAGAAGCTGGATCTACTTGTGATGGAAAACCTTTTCTACGGCAGGAAAATGGCTCAGGTAAGAACCAAGCATTCTATTCCCTTGCAGTGCAGTTCTGACTGGGAGCAAGAGCAGGGTTACCAGTAGCTGTCTGGGTAACCTTTAAAATTTGCATGTGCTGTCTATATCTAGCACTTTTCAAAGATGACAGTTCATGCCTGTTTCCTTGTTATGTGATCCTCTGTAACTTGATGCCCGTGTTGGCTAGTTCAGGTAGCTGTAGTGCAGACTTCGGTTTTTGGAAGTCTTATTTGTCCCTGCATCTCCAGTGTCTGAGAGAAAGCATTGCCAACCTAATTAGGAAAGTGTGAAACCTTTTGCAAAGCTTTTAGAAGGAGTAACTGGGATTATAGACTAATTTGTTTTAGGAGGAGAGCCTCACTGACGGAGACGGTGAGCTACTGTGCAGGGAGGGGAAACTAACAATGTTTTGAACCCTCTGTTCTCTGTCTGAACCACTTCATGTGTGCGACAAGATTTTGAGTTCAGTCTTGCTCTTAAGTAGAAGAAAATCGACTTTCATGAGGCAGTAGAATGAGGCCCTTAAAATGACTGGGGGAAAATTCTCTTCAAGTACAGAGCTGATGCTGAAAAGGAAGTTTAAACAAATGTCACTTCTAAAACTAGATAGTATCAATTCTTTCCACCTTCCCTCCCAGTGTCCGACCTGAAACAGAGGATGTTTGTGGGAGGAGGTTAAGTGAGGGAATTCTAGACAGATGTAAAGGATGATGTTGTGGGTTTTCATTTTCTTAATTTTATTTTTTTTTAACTCATGAGAGTAGTCACGCACTACAACGGAGACCCAAAGAGACTGTGGACTCTATCCCCAGTTAGTCAAGTCTTGACTGGACAGCGCTTGAACTACCTTCTCTAACAGGACCTGCTTCAAGCAGGGCATTGGGCTAGAGACCTCCAGAGATCCTTTCCAACCTAAGGATAATCTGTTTCTTGCCTTGCCAACAGATGTTAAACAGTGCTTCGTGCAAGACCCATCTCTTTCTTTAGTGGCTTTACTATTGTCAGCATTTGAGTCTGTAGAAGGTGGCTGGAAAACTGAGTTTACCCATACAGTATAAAAATAGGGACACCCCTTTTCCATTATATTAGGTTAAATATTAATGAAATAACTTACCTAAATTTGTGAGTTGAAGTGACAGAGCTTTTATGTAGGTTTATATGCTACTCTCCACTCAGGAAACTTTGATTTTTGTAGTACAAAAATGTTTTGTTAATTGTCTTCCCCCTGTGGAGAAGGAGAGAGTTGCTCTACCATGCTGCCTTCTCAAACACTGCAGTTAGTTATGTTGAAGTCTTTAACCTCACAGAACAAGGAAACAAAGTATTGCTGTTCTCCATTTGCAGGTTTTTGACCTGAAGGGCTCCCTCCGGAATAGAAATGTTAAAACAGACACAGGCAAGGAAAGCTGTGATGTAGTCCTGCTGGATGAGAACCTTCTGAAGATGGTCCGGGACAATCCTTTGTACATCCGTTCCCATTGCAAGGCTGTGCTGAGAGCTTCCATACACAGTGATTCCCAGTTTCTCTCCAGCCACCTCATCATCGACTATTCCCTGCTGGTGGGTCGTGATGATGCCAACAATGAGTTGGTTGTTGGGATCATTGGTAGGTTGTCTTTTGTATTTCTTGCTTTCAGCTGGTCAAACTGCTTTCTTCTGGTTTAGGTATTTATAGTACTCTTAGAACTGTACCACCAGCAGAGAGATGTGTGTCAGGAAAGCTTGTCTTCTCCCTGATGGAATACACCCTCACATCTCACGAGTATTCAAAGTGAAGGCAGGAAGTCTTCTCTCCGGCTCTTGCATGGGCTTGTGTTAGCATTTGCATTGCTAAGAATATCTGCAGGAGGCCTCACAGATAGTATGAAAAAGCAGTCAGGTGGGTGTTCAACCTACACTTTGACTTCAGTTGAAGTAGGGAAGGTTGTTTGTATACTTTTTTGTGTTTAATCTTTAAAGTTATGTTCAGTAATATTTACGTAGCTGTTTACATTTTAACTTGTGTGGAGGAGATCTAAGGGGAAACAATATTGGTTGGGATGGAAGAGGGAAGTTAAATGTCATGGTATCACTTGTGATCATGTAGTCTGACCTGGGTAATATGGGTGGCAATACAGTAATTACCTTGCCACGTCCTCTGACTTGTGACTGGAAGGTAGAGCCTCATCTTTAGACAGGCAAACTTATATTGTGTAAAAGACTTGGAGACGAAGGCGTTTTGCAGGATGTGGAAGTCACTCTTGGAAATAAGATGCTCTTGAAACCTAGCTCAGAAATGCTTCCAGATGAGCTCTCAAGCCAGGAGGTCTGGATTACTCTTTTTCTGATAAAGCTTGAAAGCCATTCCAATAATACTTCCAGTTGAGAATTGCAGTCCCAGCTACAAAGAACTGCAAATTGTTATTACTTTCTAGTTTTGTAGACTCTTGAATATTTGAGTAAATGGAATGAAACTCTGCTCCTTCTGTGTGCATAGCTTTTTGCTGTCCTATGAAAAGTCTTGCCTGATTAAAGAGTATGTTTTATGGGATATTTAATGCTAACGGTTCTTTCACTGTGGTGAGAACAGCTGTTCATGATCTGAAGGAGCTTGTTTAACACAAATATCTTCAAGAAGAGAGAACATGCCTGCCGTGTCAGGCTGTCACAATGTTCTCTAAATGATACCCTGAGAATTTACGAAGCTGAATTTGTGGCAGGGGCGGAACTGAAAACCATTAGCTTGGACTGAGTTTGAATCTGAGGTCAGAATCTCTACCTATTTTAGATCCTAATGTGATAAAGGAAACAAGTAAGTTAGGGCTGTGAGGAGCTGTGAAGACTATTTGATTTGTAGGTGCTGTTGTGTGGGGCTCTGGGCCTTGGGGCATGAAGTGACAGTATTTATTTCACAAAGTAATGACCAGTCCCAAAGTGTTTTAAGGGAGTGTTTTCAAAGAGTGTTCAGATAAACGGATGCGCCGTAAGATGAGCAGGTCTGGATAAGTTTTGTGTAAAGCACAGCTGAGGTGAAACCTGTGGGTACTTATGGTGGCCTTTTGTAAATCCAGAAGAGGTAAATTCAAAATTGTATAATTACAGCTGTAGTCAAGTGTTGGGTGATAATGATACCCAGTAATGAAAAACTTAACTGCAGCTTCAGCTTTACATACCAGAATGTTCATGTGCTTGTAATGGCTGAACACGCTTTCTCTGAAAGGGGCTTGGAAACAATTCTAAGGCTTCTCCTTGCAGCCCCCTCTTCCAGTCAGGGTCACTGGGAATGTTTTCCAGTCCCCATATTGTGAAGTGAAAAATGTTTGCTTTCTGTTACCAAATCTGTAGATTGCTGCAATCATGAGGAGTACTACTGGCTTAAATGGATAGGTGTCCAAGTTACGGCAAAGTGAGGGTTCTTGATATGTTTCTGGGATGAGAATCAGCTAAATGACTCTTGTAAATAAGTCCTTGAAACTCTAACATGGATAAAAATAGACATGCCTGGGCAGTCTGTTTTTGCAGGGGCAGGAAGAGTCAATTGTGGTCTCGCTGGACTTTTGAGATACCATATTCACCCTACCCAAATATAATCAATACTCCAGAAAGTGAGGCAGCTGGCAGGAGAGACACTGAAGTTCTTCTGGCAATGGGAACCTACTGCTTTCTTGCCCCTTTTGAGGGGAAGTAAATATGTTTTAGAACAGTGTTACTTGAGTTATAGCAGATATGACTGGTTTGTGTGTGGATATTTAATTTTATTTTATTGCAACAGACTATATTCGCACTTTTACCTGGGACAAAAAGCTTGAAATGGTTGTGAAGTCAACTGGCATCTTGGGAGGACAAGGTAAGTCCAGAATGAAAGCAAAACTTTTGATGGTGTTTCCTTGTTACTTGGAAGCTTTCAATAACTATGCTAATGAAGCCACAACTTCCCCACCATGCAGATTTCAACACTAGATTGAGTTGTCCAGAACAGAGGAAGGACTAACAAGTTTCAGTAAACTTAATACATTGATCTCTCTCTGTGTCTGACCTTTTACGTACTGTAATTCCTGGGAATGGGGTAAAAGTCATCTATTTATCAGACTGTTCTTCTGTTTCTTACTTATCAACTACTCTCAAACTTAGTCATCCATACAGAGATACTAGCAAAAAACCTTGCTGCCTGGTTTCAGAAGACGTTTTGTGAGTCGAGAAAATCTGATATACTCTGAGCTGTTAGTGTGAAGGAATCCTTATGAAATGATTGATTACAGTCCATATTTTGAGGAGCTGAGAAGTTCCCTTTATGGAAGCGAGTAGAGTACCTTTTGTGCAGCATTGCCTAGTGTTGGCCCACGTGTTAGTAGGAGGCCTGGAAAGAGAAGGGAAGGGGAACACTCGATGTACCACTGCTCAGGTGTCTGGAGAAGACAAGAGCATGTCCACAGAGTGAAATTCTTCATGGGAGAAATTTCCATCTCTGCTAGAAAACCTCAAAGACCTGTAAACAGGAGAAGAGGAAAAGAAACATACTAATCAGGGCTGATGTAAAAAGCCTAGATGATTCCTCCAACTTCGGGTATCTCAATTCAGTATTGGAGGTCCAGACCTTGATCTGTCTTCTCTCCTAAATGTTTAAAATAAAAATAAATTAAAAAAATAGGCAGCTAATAATGCTTGTTCGTTCCAAGACCCTTTCATGTACAATATGCCTTCATGATTATGCTGGTGTTGTAATTTCATGTGACATCTGTCTGTACTGCAGTATACTCTTTAGCCCATTTCTGACTGCTCTTGACTCTCACCCATTAGGTAAGATGCCAACAGTGGTCTCTCCAGAACTGTACCGGACCAGGTTTTGTGAAGCTATGGACAAATATTTCCTGATGGTGCCAGACCATTGGACAGGACTGGGCCTGAATTGCTAAGCTACAGCCCATATTGGGAAAGCACAAGAGGACAATGACATTATAGGCCACTCTCTTCCTGCGATCTGTCTGGCAGTAAGCAAGAGGATTGTAGTTCCATGTCTACACTGACCACGTGCGTCATGTTGTGAAGCGTGAAGTCTGCTTGTTGCACTTTAATCCTCTCTTGGAGGCTGATAAATGAACCAGCCTCACTAAGGATCTAAGCTGTAAGGTACCACTGAACAGTATTGATAAGAGACATTCCCTCTCTCAGTAGGGAAGGTGATGCTATCTCCACGTAAGAGCACTGGAACAGATAGTGTCCAGTTCATGATGGTGTAGAAGTACATGATCTCTGTAAGTCTTGCACTGCCTAAGTGGTGTTGAGTATGAGCAGCTCATGTTTCTGCAGTGGATGTGTGGTACTGCAGATGTGAAATAAACCCCTCTGTCTGTGTGTATGGGTGAGAGAAGAATGAAGATAATTCCTGAGTTCTGGTATTGTTGCAGTGGTCTGTAGTTGACCTGTTTAGGATCCATGAATAACTTGTCCTGCTTATGCTCTGTAGCTTCACTTTTTCCTGAGTTCTGTAAACAGTACTTTTTTTTTTTTTAAAGGCAGCTCCACAGCTAAAATTCTGTGTCACTACATCTTTTAAGTTGTGTTACTGCAATACAAATCTGTCTTTATCTGTCATAATTTCACTTTAGCTGAATCCCATAAAACTGGGTTGTCAGTCATCAGCATACTGCAAAACCCATAACATATCCCTTCAGTCCTAAACAGTACTTTGATCTGAATGTTGCCCGAATCCCTGGAAACAGGTAACTATGAAATATACCTTTTAATTTAACAAGACTTGATTAATTATAGTTGTGAAGCTGATTAACCCTTTCCTTAGCAGAAGGCACTAAGTTGCTAGACAAAATGAAGCATACTGCCTTAGAGTGACAACTTTGTCCTTATTGAAACCATTGTTCCTGGCAGATCACTTCAAATCTATTTCAGTTCCCCAGGACTTTTCAAACAACACATTTACCTCATGGTGAAACTTTGCCAGGAGAATGTTTTTCTTGCATTTGTGACGTGTTGATGAGAATGGGGATCCATATCTCATCACACTGTGCAGTCCTAATGCAAAAACTGTCTCTTCAACAGTATTAGTTGGTTTTGTTTTTTTTTTTTTGCACCACTGAGATGAATGTACTTGTCTTTTTCTGTAAAAAGAAAAACCTGAACTAACAGGTATCTTGTATAATGGATAAGATGTGCAGAGATCTGTGAATTTCTGTTATGACAATAAGCACTTCTTTCCATTTTTATTAATTTTTACATGTTTTTGTAGATGATGAGTTTACTTTTTAGCTTCATTATAATATAGGCCAGTAAATAGGAGGGTTTTTTATTAGTTTGAGAGGCAAGAATACTGTCTTTTGACTTTCAGTCCCTGATGGAAGGACTTCAAATGAACATGGAGTCTGAGACAGTACAGCTCTTTATGACCACTTGCTCGTTTGGACCAGTTGCCTGGTAATGCCATCTTCACTGTAACTATAGATTGAAATGTGCATTTTGTTCACTCCTACTGCGTTCAGTATTTTCTTCTGCAGCAGATGGTGGTGGCTCTATTCAGGAGTGAAAGCTGGGCAGCACTGAGAAAAGAAAATGCCAGCAGTGAGAATTGAACTGTTGGCTCCAAAGCCAACCAGTGTAGCTCAGATCTAAGCTGCCAGGAAGCAAGTCATTTGTGTTGGAAGAAGTCTTCCCCACACCATTGCAAAGCCCTACTGGAGGATGAGCAAAAAATGCTAACCTTGAAGCAGCAGAAATGGAAGAATTCTCACTTCCGCTGTACAATGTAATCATTGTTTCTGGGGGTGCAGTGTTGAAGGCTGCAGTGATGTGTGCTGTGGAAAGATGACATGGTACTTCTTGCTTCCTCTGGCCCAGAATCCCTTCGGTCCAACACAGTGTATGAGGTACAGCTGACCACCTCTGGGACACACCTTGCTTCCCTTGTTGAAATGTACTCCCAGGATGGCTAGCTTTGGGGGGTCCTTGTGTAAAGAGGAACCAGCCAGTCTATCGGCTCAATGCTACTCTCACTTCTGGGGCTTCTACCTTCTGTCTTGATCCATCAATGTGAAAGAGCATGCCATGCAGCCTGAATTTGTTCCAGTCCCAGTTAAAGGCTACATATGTTCTTCCTTCCCCTTCTAAAGTTTACAGGGAAAAAACTTGACTTGCCTGACCAGCTAAGGTGACCCAACAGCAGCTGGTTATGTTATCTTCCACCTTTGTCAGTGTGTGGATTGGTCGATGGAGCATGAATATCGGCAGTGTCATGGCATCTGCACTAGGCTAATGTAGAGCTGTGATGTACTAGCCCTCTCCTGTCACCAGTAACCCTTACTCCAGTGATGTGTGGCCGCTCTATGCTGCTTGACTTCTAGAGTCTCAAGCAGCTGGCTCTAAAGCAATGTGATCATCTGACTGTAGCTAATGTTCTTCTGTACATGACAGCATGAGGCTCTCAGCACTGTAAAAGTGAGAGAACCTTCCACTGGCCAGCTGCTTTGCAGCCTGTGAATGCAGAGCCTAGATGTGTGAATCGTGACTACCTTGGGCTGAAGTTATAGCAGTTGGAGAGATTTTAGGAGTCTCCTTTTGAGCTGGCATCAACAGCTGACTTTGGGTCAGGATGTGGCTGATAGACTAGTCCTGATCACAACTGGAGTAAATAGCAAACCACTAGTCATGCGTAGCACAGTAGCCGCAGAATCAACTGGAATTGGGACATCTTTGGGTGCCATGTGACGTAAAGCTGTAAGCATTTCTAGTTCAAATCCCAGTGGTTGAACAGATCTCCTCAAATGTTCCCTTTCCAGAATAAGAATTGTCCTGGCATTTCACTTGCTACAAAGCTGACTTTCTCAAAAGGAGAGCAATACTTCATGCAGAAGACTTGTGGGGCTGTTAGGCCTGTGTCCCTGCAGCATGCCTAAGGATGTCCTAGGGGAACAACCTAGATGTTACTTGACCCCTTTGAGGTTTTTTTTTTAATTTCTTTATAACACGGGTTTAGTATATATTTGTGTAAGCAAATCCTAGTTGCAAACATGTAGATTGCATTTGTTGGGAGCTACACAGGCTCTCTTTCTTCTGTTGTTTTCATCGGAGGCCTTGTGACAAACGTTTAAATCTTGTCCCAGTCAGAAGTGATGACTTGCTTTGAGTCATTGTGTAGATGGTGGAATGCCTTGAAGTGGCCCAGCGATGCATTCTGTCCTCCAAAAGCACATGAGGGACTCTTGCTGGTTGAGTAGCTCTGCTGGTCTCAGGGGAGTTACCTGTGGAGTGGACTCTCCTCTGAGAATGACCGAAACCAAAGGAATTGCTCATTAGCAGGTGGCCAGACTAACCATGATTCAAAGCACTTAATGTACCATAATGTATGTATTTCTAATCTATCTTGGTTCAGCTGTATTTTATAAAATTGATGTACTAAATTATTTGAGAATAACTGCCTTGACTACTTGGAGGATCAAAATGTAGTGTATATAGATACAAATAAAGTGACTAAAATATACCTGAGTCTATTCCATGTGGTGGAGCAGTTAGGTCTCATAGCGTCCCGTTTTCTTGATCAGAGGCGAAGCCCTCTGCTTGCTCCGCAGCAGTTGCTCTCTTGGAGGCTGCCGGCTTTGTGTGCAGTGTAAGCATACCTGTCATGTCTCTGTACCTTGCAGCTAGTCTCTTCTAATGGAGCAGAACCTCTGGACAGCTCTCCAGGCTGGTGGCAGTAGAACGTGCAAATAACCTTTCATGCACTTCTCCCACCTTCTCCTCAGTTGCTTTTCAACACGCAGCGCTATGTGAGAGAGGGAGCTGGTTTGTCCAGCAGACAGTGGTGTTGCTGAGGCCCAGTTCTTCCAAGAGGCAGAACACATTTCTCAGGAAAAATCTCCAGATATTTCCATAGTCTCCTCTTAAGCGGACTAGATAAAGAAAACATCCAAGGAGGTCTGCAAATTAATGTTGTAACTTGATTGCTTCGTATTAACCTGGTACATAGTAGCCTACTCTCTTAAAGCTAAAAATGATGTGTGATTGGTTCTGGGAAGGGGACTTGTTCCTAGAATATAAAACTCAAAATCTGAAACTTAAGGATTTTACGTATTTTATGTGCCATCACCACTTTGCCAGGTGAGTTTGAGGTTTTTTTTATCTGCTGCAGTATGACACTGCATCAGAAGCTGTCCCACCATGGGGAGGTGAGCAAGGCAAAAGGTGGGATACTCAATTCAGAGGCAATGCTGCCTTATGCTGGTGTAAGGTTGACTGGTGGGACTTGAGGGGCTTCTGGCACAAAGCTGAAAAGCACGAATAATGCAGAGTTATCAGAACAACATTTCTCTAATACTTACAAGTGGGAGTGCCAATGCCTCCGAAACTTCTTTTGATCAGTACCGAAGTCATCAGTATTGGGAAACAAGACAGTAATTGCATGTGTTTTCCATTGATGTAACTGATGGTCAGCTTCCCCACTACCACTCTGATTTGAACAATACTGCTATTGATGGGAGGGTGGGGGAGGGTGTGGGAAGTTGGGATTCACCATCTCAGTCTATGCTCTGATGTCTCAGTTTGAGTTGTATGGTGTCCTAATGTGAAGATACACAAGCGGCAAGGGGTACTTCAGTTTTAGCGTGAAGGTTTTAAGTCAGTGTAGATACAAGTAACATTGCACAATTATTGGGAAAATCCAGACCATCCCTCATTTTTCCCTGTTTTGGGACACAGAACTGGAAGTCTGGCACACTAGAGATTCAAGATCTAGCTGCACTATACACTGATACAAGCCTAGTATTGCCACTAAGGTGCTAAAGTAACAACAGAACAGGAATCTAGGGTCTCCAAGTTCCTGCTGTGGAGCCTTGGTTTGTTGTCAGATCTCTGTAAGGAACAAAAAGAACTGAAAAAATAAACCACCTCATTTTTTGGTGAGAGAAGGTTTGTCTGTATTGTGTGCCTGGAGGCAGAGCCTGCTTCTCGAAAGACAAAGGATGACAGAATCATGTAAGAAGAGTGGGTTGGGGGCTTGTTTGGTAATTCAGTAGAGCAGCAGAGTCAGAATGAGCCCAACGTGCACCCTGTTTCAATGCCTTGTTCTCCAGCCCCTGCTGCCTCTCATGGCATCAGGGCCGAGTGATGTGCACAGGGGCAGAAAGCAATGCTTAGTTTGATGAAAACCAACACTGAAATATCCCTGGTTCTGAATTATTGTCATCCTACACACTGAGTCTAAGCTTTGCAGAGCTCCAAGTCAAGCTAGTTTCTTACACACCATGAAGGCAATGTTCTTGAGTGTTTCCAAAGGCACATGGTTGTGGTCCTACAAAACCATGCTCGTTCACACAGCTTGTGCCAGTTACAGAGGCTGTTTCTCAGTTTAACTCCTGCAGTCACTTGCAATGATATGTGAAAGCAGAGTTGTTAGCAGCCAGCCGACTCCTTATTCCCTCTGTGGTTTTTCCTTAGGTGAGATCTTTTCCTGCTGG